CGAGGGGCGCTGCCAGAGTCGGCGGGGGGGGGTGCACGGCGCGGGGGCGCTCACGGGTCGCGTGGGGCGGAGGGGGCCCGGGGGCCGTCGGGGCGGGCTGGGAGACCACCCCGTGGGCCGACGCGCGAGGAGTGGCCTCTGTGGTGCGCGGCTTGCCGATCGCTGCGAGCGATGCGGCGGAACCGGCCTGCGTGCTCGGGTCTGGCCCCCCGCCCCCCCCGCGCCTCAGGAAGGCCGCGCACCGAAGGCACCTCGGCGAAAGGTCGCTCCTACGTGCAACTGGCCCTGGGCGGGGGCTCCTGCCCGGACCGGGCAGAAGACTTTGACACAGTGCTCACCTCTGCGGCGTCTGGGGGCGTTTGGGCTCGTCCGAAGATGACTCTAAATGCAAGGCCGGCCCCAGGGAAGGGTATAGGACTTCGTCGGAGGTCTTCGTATCAGACAGTCAGGAGGTTCGCCTGCCATCGAGATTCTAAATGCTTGGAAGGTCCCCTCGATTGTTTCGACGTCAATGGGAGTCTGGGTCTAGGACCAGGAAAAGGTGATGGTATGGGTAATGCGTTATCTGAAAGGGGTCATACCCCCACCCCGAGCGCGTAGCAAACGTTAGATGTACCAAGATATCGAGCTATTCCCTAAACAGCTTGTCTGTGCGGTTTCTATCTGCTGTTTCTCACAAATGAATTGGGGGCCCGTCAGGTCCAAACTCGTCTGGGCGACGTTGTCTCCTTTTGTTTCCCGTTGTCTTCCCTTTTCTCCCGCTTTCTCCCGTTATATATATATATATATATATATATATATATATTACCCCCCCTTTGTCTCCCGTTGACAACCTTTACCTCCCGTTGTCCCACGCGGCCTACAATTAGTATTAATGTTGGTTGTTCGTCTTCGTATCGGCCGTGGTCTTCTTATGAATCGGTAGTATCATTCATGCTCGCATTCGTAAAATCGACAGTCGTACTACTACTACTACTACTACTACTACTACTACTACTACTACTACTACTACTACTGCTACTACTACTACTGCTACTACTACTACTACTACTACTAGTAGTAGTAGCATTCGTATGTATAGCAAATTTATGATTAGCCGTAGTCTGCGTATTAGTTCAGGTCGATGTAAAAGTATCAGCAGTCCCGTTCGTGTTCGTTTCCGTGCTCCTAGTCATATGCGTATTCATAATATAATGAAGAGGTTCGTATCAATTCATTCGTAACGTTCAGTTTAAGCATAGACTGCCTACGGATTAGTACCAGTATCCGCCACCGTGCCTCCTGGCACGTTGAGGCTTGGAAAAATACCAAGTACTGCCTGGCCGGGCTTCTGTAGTCTTCTCTAAGGGACTCGCCCTCTCATCACAGAGTGGCGCGCGCACCGCCCCTCCTCCGAAAGATCCTGGGCGGCCATGGCGCTTCCCCGGGGCCCCCGGAGTCTTCCAAGATGGCCAGGGAAGCCATCCTGGCTGCGAAGATGGTCCAAGAGGCCCCCATGACGGCCTCGGATGGCCCAAGATGGCCTCAAGACGGCCCAAGAGGCCTCCAAGACGGCTCGAGAGGGCTCCAATAGAGCCTCCAGCAAAGCCCGAAGAAGCCAACATCACTGATTGTCGATGAGTTGTTGAATGATGCTCGCAATCTCGCCGTTTCGAGCTTTCGGCTCAAGACAGCCCACACGAAGCCTCCCAGACGGCCTCAAGACGGCCCAAGAGGGTGCCAAGATGGCCCCAGCGGCCCAAGGGGACCCCAAGTCTGCCCAAGCAGGTGTTCAGACGGCCCTCAAGGTTTCCAAGAGAGCCCCACGACAACCCAGAGAGCCCCCCAAGATAGACTCTGAAAGCGCCTATACGGTCAAAGAGCGCCCTCAGACGGCCCAAGGAGACCCCAAGAACCCCCGAGGCGCCCGCAAGCCGCACTGTACTATTTGACTGGGACTGTGAGGGAGGGGGAAGGACAGGACATAGAGCAAGTGCTTGGTTGAGGACTAATCTGTTTGAATGATTTTGCCCAAATTGCCAGTCAACCAATTGGTTTTCAGAAGCTGTGGCATGTGCGCGAGTGTATCCGATATGGCATTATTTTGCGAAGGGTTATACGAACTGCGCACATGAGATGAGCGCACGGGCCGGGCTGGGCCGGGCGGGGCTGGATCGGGTCAGAGTCTACTTTACCGGGGTTAGTCACATCAGGACGCACGATTACATCACATCACGCGCGGTGTAATACATCAAACTAATGTACACGTACATGGTGAAAAATGAAAGTGAGCGGGCACCGTTGTTGGGCATCACTTGTATCACCCGCGCTGACGTCTCAAGATGATTACACCCTTTCCGTATGATAAAGCGGTCGCGGTCGTTAATAGTAGTGTGATGGTGGTGTCGATGATGGTGACGATGATGGTGACGCCATACATTATACTCAGCTCGCGCGAACTGCTGCGATACGCGAACCATTGCCCTCTCGGATCGGTGGCCCGCGCACGTGGAGGGAATGACAGCTAGAGTCCGCAGGCAAACGTAGATGCCACAATCGTCGGGCAGTCCTCAGAGGCCCGAACTCTGCCTCAGATCTAGACATCGGTTCTGGATTGTGGAAGGTTGGGGGGGGCTGGATGAGACCTAAATGAGACGGGGGCCCTGTGGGCGCAGTGCGGCGACCGGAGAGACGGAGGGGGAGGAGGCGACAACGGACGACGACGAGGAGGATCAGAACTCAGCTTTCCTGCCCGCTCTGGGAGTACCCGCATCACCTTCCCCTGTCGTCGGCTTAATGTCCTGCCGGGTCAGCGAGCGAGCGAGCGGCAGCAGGCCAACAAAAAATCACGCCCGGCCGCGCCCGCACGCGCACTCCCGCGTGCACGCCCCTTCTGACCTGCCGCCGTCCCGCCCAATCGCCCTGCGCAACGGAAGCGCGACGCGATCACGGCGACAAAGGGCCCATCTGTCAGGCCGGACCGTTGCCAGCGTCGCCGTCGTGGGGCGATCGGCTCGAAAATCGCCCCACAGCCATCCGAAAGGGCTTTCAGGCAGTCCAAGAGAGCCACAAGACGGCACAACAGGGTTCCAAGATGGCCTCGGAGAGCCCCATCAAAGCCCAAGATGGCCCCAAGACACCCTCCGAAACATTATAAATCGTGACCCGGTCGTTAAAGGAGATCGCGGTTGGAGGCAGGGTGGCCCGAGGAAGCCCCCAAAGGCCCCCAAAAAGACGCCCAGGAGACCTCCAGAAGGCCTCAAGAAAGTCTGAACAACTTCCGTGAGGCCCCCAAAGGCTCTCAACGGAGGAGCTTCCGCAAAAAGGGCCGAGGAGGATGGGGAGGATACGCAGGGTAGGACGAGAATAAGGAACAAAACGCGTGGATAGGGAACGCGAATGACATTATTACAACGGCGAGGCCGGCGACGGCAACACGGGATTATCGCCAAGTTGTCGGTTTGACTTTCTTACCATTCTACCTGCATGCCAAACTTCAAGGACCAAGGTGCATGGCGCGAAACGCCATTGCAATCTTGCATGTGTATGTGTGTATATAAATGTATATGCTGGCAGGCCACAGGTGGTTGAGTGGTGTTCGTAGCAATGGCTGAACCCCCGTTTGGGGATGTACCACTTCGTACAAAGACGCTGACAGGCCAGGCGGGACGCGGCGGGAGTCAGATGGGTCGGGCGGCTTCGCCTGGTGAGTGGCTTTCCGTGGCAATGCATGCTGGCAGCGTAACATCGATGAAACACAATTGGTCTTTGAAGGCGTCCAGCCTGTCGCAGCATGAGACGCCACATTTGGTTGTTGAAAGCATCCAGCCTGTCGCAGCATGTGGCGCCACATGCGGCCCGCATCCGTTATTTGTCTAGGAAGGTTGCGGCGTGGCTGGATATGGGTCGGGCTGCGCGGCCCCAGAATACGCATGTGGCCCGCACACAACGATTTGCCAACGAGGGTGGGGAACGCGTCGGGTATATTGAGGGCGCGCATGTGGCACGCACTTTCCATGCTTGGGTCACGTGCTGCGAACATTTCCATACCCACGCACCCCCAATCTGGATTCAAATCGCGGAACCATGGGTACGTGATGGCATGGATACGCTCTGCGCGGGCACCCGTGAACAACAACACTTTTAGCGTCGGCGGCTGGGCAGAGCGTGACTGCGCTGGCGTTTTTTTTTTGGGGAAAAAAACACTCATTAGAGGGGGTACCGTTGGGCCGAATTGTACCACCATGCATCAGGAGGAGGAGGAGGAGGAGGAGGAGGAAAAGGAGGAGGAATATGAGGTCACCGTATGAGTCAATCCGAAACCTGTGAAAGCTACTAAACCGCTTCTCTCAGGGAGGGGATGAAGAGAGGGCAAAGCCTCATGTGTAGAGCGGAATGCATGGGATGTCCCCGAGGCATGCGGGGACAACGCAGATGAAACAGATGACCCCGACGAACGGGGAGAATAAATAGACAGCCGCAGTTGAAGGCATTGCTCACGTACAGAATGCCTGGCTGTTTCAGTAAAGCCGATGTCCAACGCAGAGGAATGCAGCGAACGAGACCCTGGCCAGCATAGACCCACGTGCAGCCATCGTCGCGCAGGAACTCGTCATGGCGACGTCCCTCAGGCAGGAGCGCATCCTGGGGACGTGCAACACGCTGTGGCTCATGACCCAAAACCTCGCACACCCGATCGGGCCGAGCTGGTTGAAAAGCGGATGCCTCGTCACCAGGAGCGTCGCACCAGCAGAACAGCACGTCAGGGTTTTGATCATCATGGTCAGGTTCGTCCACCCGTTCATGTAGAGCTGTACGCACGTGGCCCAGGCGGGCCCAGTCCAGATCGTACACATCTTTTGCTTTATCAACTTACACGGGGGGGGGGCGCTCTGGGCTAGGGTGTCGCACAGCAACTTCACCGAGGTCCCGAAGAACTCCACCATCGACCTGCTCGGCGTCACGCTCCTCAGCTTGCACTGGAGCGGGCCCTTCGCCAGGGCAGCCCGCTGGCAGCCCATCTCGACTATCACCGAGATGCGCATCGTGTTGCAGCCATACGTGGTGGAGACCATCAGGGCAACATTGTCAATTGGATCGCGCACCAAGGATAGATTCAAGGCTGGAAGCCAACTACCAGATAGTCGACATAATCGGCTCCTGAGTGGACTGAAGGGCCGCCTTGACCTGTAGGCTATGGCAGCGGACAACGTCTTCCACGAATTGCCGAAGACAGGGGATGATACCAACTTTGAGCTTCTGGGTCGTTTCGTTGAACTCGTTCCGCGTGGGAGTCTAGCCGATCCTCCAATGCATTAGCTGCATGGGGGTGGGCTGATGCAAAGCAACGTCGGGAACACGCACCTCCGCTCGCTCAAGGAGACCATTGAGAATCCTAATCGTGCAGTTCTGGGCTTCAGCAAGTCTGTGTCACTGGCAGGAGGCACTCGCCACGAGACCCGCAACATTGCCATCCTCCATACCGTTCGTTGTGGCAGCCACGCCCGCGGCATAATCAAATACACTAGCGACGTGGAAGGACCGTCCACATCTGCAGTCGAAATCGCCGAACCTACACCTCCACCAGCCACATCCGCAGCAGAGCATCCTCCCCGAAGGGCAACATATTCGTCATCGTCCTGGTCCGAACCATTGACATGGAGAGTAGCCTCACCATCCGCAGCCACATTGTCAGAAAAGATCTTCCCCACTCGCGGCAGATCATCCTTGACACGCTCCAAAAAGGCAGAGACCAGCGTGAAGTCTTCCTCCACAGCACTCTCAGCATGCATTGCAAGAAGTGGGCGATGCCGCGAACGAAGCGCACGCCTGGAGACGCGACCGGCAGCCAGGGCGACGGAAGCAGCGCCAGGAGTGCCACCCGCGTCCGAGAACCTGCGCACGCGATAGGGCCCACTGGAAGACTGAAACTTGAAGCCCATCGCTCGGCTGAAATCCATCTGCGTGAACACGGGCGAATCCGAAACCTCGTACCCGAAGCCGCCGGTCAACGTCATCAGCACGGGGGGGAGCGACGGCAGGAGCCGCCGCCGAGCGAGGGACCGCGGCAGGCGCGGCAGCAGAACGTGGTGAGCACCGCGTGGACGGCGAACGGGCCAACGCTTGCTGCTTCTCCGAAGCCTCGCATGCAGACAGCACCTTGACCCTGTTGAGGAGGCGGCGGCGCTTCGCATCAGCACTGCGGCTGTGCGTGCCGCGCACACGTGGAGCAGCCTCGAGATCACACCATCGGCCACTGGAGGCAGCCGCCATCCACATCAGGTGCCCCGCGAGCACAGCCACCAGCGCGGCCGATGCACGAAGGAGAGGGCTCTTCAGCACCATGGGAGCATCGCAGCGGCCACGCGCGCGGCCGACGCCCGAGCCTTTGACCTGAGCCGGAACGGCTACGGAGGAGAAGGAGGAGGGAGGAGGAGGGACGCGGCCGAAAGAAAACAAGGACGGGGCGGGCCGTGAACAAACGTACTCCGTATCCTTGGGGTCACGGCCCAAAGGCATGGCTTGCGAGGCCGTGGATCTGGAAACGTTTCCCGCCCACGGCTGCTGCAGAATATCGGAGTCATACCTTGGATCGCGCAGTGGGCAGCATGGCTTCTTGAAGGCCATAAGGTTGCACCATTACAGGACAGTGGCTCGGGTAGGGAGAGCAGGTTGGGAGAAGGGGGATATACTGGCAAGGATGTGAAACCCGATCAAGGCAAGGGCAACTTCCACACAATTTGTAAATATGCTGTTCTTGTTCCCTCCAGGGTTATCTGAGGTGTTCTTATGTACTGTCGGTGTATTGTGTTCTCGGTTCTCAAAATCCCATGAGTGTCCTGACTGAAACCTGTGTGGGGCACTATCGCGGCGGGCCATAATTCAGGCGGGCGGGTCGGGTCCGGAGGACGGACCCAAACGGGCGGGTCGGGCGGGAAGACCCTAGCGGGCGGGTGAGGCGGGCAGACCCTGCGGGAAACGACTCCATGACAACGAACACATGTTAGACTTGTTTATGTGTGAAAAGCAGGAGTTAGATTGTTGGATCAAGTACGGCCATCTTGCTGTTTACAATGTGATCGCATAATTCCGCAAACGCATTTTAATTGAACGCTGATTGAGACTGTTGTGATCAGCGGGCATGCTCAAACAAACCAAACTGAGCATTCCTTTTTAATGGCTTTGGCAAGTCCGTGTGCGCGTGTGGCCACGCAGATTTTTATCCTAGCGCACTTGCAACATCAGCGCATGTGCACGTACTCTTAATATATGACAGGGACGGTACCCGTTTAGCGCAGGCGTGGCACGCATGGTTCATTTGACACATCAAATGCTCGCGTGCCCCGCACCATATTACTTATCATGTGACGTGCCCTGGGCCAGATGGGTTCCAACTTTTGAGGATTAAGGTTTCAGGGTCACGGGGGGGGCGGGCACGACGGGGGGAGTCCGAGGGCTTCCCGCCTGGACGCATGGCCTCGGGTTGGGTTGCAGACAATCCCGCCCAACAACCCCCCAAGGGCGGCTGGCCTCAACAAGCCCCGCCCTCGGGTTACGGTCAGAAGTTTTTGGGTAGCGTGTCGCGACGACAGCCCTGGCGACATGCTATAACTTGCAAGCCGATGGCGTGTCGCTCCGCTCCGCGGGGCAGAAGGCTAGGAACAACTCGGAACGTTGACGCTTGGGGACTGGGAAGCGGATAGCGTGTCGTGCCAAAGCGCGGTGGGCCAAAGATGGTGGAGCGATACGCTAAGCCAAAGTTCCTGACCGCCGTACTCTCGGTTGGCCTCACCAGACACCCCAAGGGCGGTCTCAACGTCTCAACACCACAGCGCCGCGTCGCGGCGACCCAAAGGCGCGGGACGCGCTGGGGATGCGGTTTGACCGCCCAGGATTGCCTCGGGGGCTTTCCGAGTTCAGCCAGAACCGCACCCTGGAGGCTGCCTGTGCGCAGCCCTACAGCCGTTGCCAGGACCCTGCAAACAGATCGCAGCGTGGCGAGCAAATCGGGCCAAAACTCCCGACCTCGCGTGCTACGCGGGGTCTCCAGAGCCGGATCGATCCATCCGTGAATGCACCGGTGTCTTGCAACGGAGCGAAGCCGCTGGCCGCGGTGTTTTCCGACGCCTGGTGGCCAGGGGACGCCCCGCCCTCCAAGCCTACGACGCCACGTTTTTCCGATGTGACGCGCGCCGGGGCTATTGACCCTAATCCCGAGTCGTTTGTTGACGGCTGGCTTCCAGGGTTCTTGGCATGGGAGAAAACGGGTCGAGAGGGAAACAAGTCCTGGAGGACGGGCTTTTCCACGGTCCCAACTCTTCCTCTAATTATTCTTCACAATCCCAGGGCCCTGGAAGGACCCCGGGAGGCCGACAACGGTAACACCCTCGAGGACCCCCTGCCTCCAGGACCCCACCCCTTCCGAGGGCAGAAGAAGCACTCCCAGAACAAGCACCCCTACGAGCGAAGCCCTTCAGCAAACCGTGCAGGGCAGGATCGTCGAGTAGACGCCCAGGACTGCCAAGCAAAAACGCATATTGCCTGGGGTCGGGGTTGCCGCCTGGGGAGGCGGGAGACTTCGAGGTTCGCTTTCGCGCAGCCTGCAGCATCGAGGCACCGTGGATGGGGGAGGAGGCCCCTCCTCCTCCTCCTCCTCCTCCTCTCCTCCTCCTCTCTCCTCCTCCTCCTCCTCCTCCTCCTCCCTCCTCCTCCTCCCCTCCTCCTCTCCTCCTCCCTCCTCCTCCTCCTCTCCTCCTCCTCCTCCTCCTCCTCCTCCTCCTCCTCCTCCTCCTCCTCATGCCTGCTACCCCCCTATATGGCGAGGCTACCCCTCCCCACGTTGGCCCCCCCCGCGGAGCGAAGCCGGAGGCCCGACGCGCCGCGGCGCGCAGGGCGGCGTGGCCGTCCGCCGCAGCGCTGCGCGGCCTCGGCGGCCGAGCGGCCGATCGCCGCCGCCCGATGGCGGCCGCCCGATGGCCGCCACCGAATACCGGGTGGAGGAGGTTACGGTCAGGAACTTTTGGATAGCGTGTCGCCAAGGCGGCCCCGGCGACACGCTAGGCGCTGTGAGCGGATAGCGTGTCGTTCCGCTCCGCGGGGCTGGAGGCTGGGACAGGCTCGGAGCGTTGATGCCTCGGGACCGTGAAGCGGATTGCGTTTTGCGCCGAAGCGTGGTGGGCAAGAACTGGCAGAACGACACGCAATCCAAAATTCCCGCCGAGCGTACGTGCGCGAATTGTAGGCTGTCGAGTGGCAGCCCATTTGTTGGGCCGAGAGTGGCCTCTGTGGCTCCCCCCCTTCCTAGCAGAGCTCGGCAGACCGAGTCACCCGAGGTCCTCGGTCGACTGACGGACCGAGCTAGCCAAGCGAAGGGCTCGGGCGCCGGCCCCCGCAACCTCCTGCGCTTGTGAACGGTGCGCTTGGAGCTCCTCCTCCGCCTCCTCCGCCTCCTCCTCCTCCTCCTCCTCCTCCTCCTCCTCCTCCTCCTCCTCCTCCAACACATACTCCTTCCCCTCCGTCCCCTCGACGAGGCTGCGGTCTCCGATCCGATAGCCAAGAGCCAAGAGGTGGACAGTGGGTAATGCACGAGATGGCTCTGGGCAAGCAGTTAGCCTCTCTCTATGAGACATCCTCCTCCTCCTCGACACTATATTCTTCCTTCGAGCTTCGAGCTTCGGACGGTTCTGCTGCCCATTTTCCTCCTCCTCCTCCTCCTGCTGCTCCTGCTCCTGCTCCTCCTCCTCCTCCTCCGCCTCCTCCACGTCGTCCTCGCCCTCGTTCTCATCCTCGTCGTGGTACTCGTCCTCCTCGTCGTCCTCTTCCTCCTATTCCTTCTCCTCCTCTTCTCTTCTCCCTCACCGCGCCACTGGCAAGGTGGAGGTCGATGATCGCTGCGGTCGAGACTGGCGGTCCGACTGCGCGGTCGCCCCTCGTCCTCCTCGTCGCCGTCGCCGTTGCAGTCGTCGCTGCCCCTCATTATCCTCACCGTTTTCGCCGTTGCAGACGTCGTTACTCCTCGTCCTTCTCGTCCTGGTTGGGCAAGGCAGATGCGGCTGCGCGCTCGGCTTCGAAACTCTTTCGCAATGCCCCCCCCCCTTCCCGGGGCGGTCTCGCTGCGCAGCTGCCTCGCGGCAACGTCGCGGCACTGGCGCCCCCACTCCCCGTGCCTACCCAACCAGCCCCGCAAGGCCCTGGCCCGACCCTGGCCAAGGCCGGAGCCAACGAAAATCCTCGCCGTCGTCAACGTCGTCGTCGTCGCGCGACTCGCGCGGGTCACCGCGGCGGGCACCCGGGCGCGGAGCCCGACCATGGGGGAGAGGCGGGCGCGCAGGCGCGCCATGGGCCGGGGTGGTGGTGGGAGGGCCCGCGGTGCGCGGCGGTGGTGGCGGGCTCGCCGCTGAGAAGGCTGCGGTCCGAGGGGGGGAGGGGCGAGGGCCCAGAACATCCATCACTGCAAGTGGGCGGGGTGTGGCCCAGAGCGGGTTGTGTGGCCACTCGCATGCCTGGGAGGGGCGAGGGGCCCCACCGCCAGCGGAAGGCGGAGGTCCTGGCCGTTGGCCACCACATGAGACAGGCAGGAGCGCCACTGCCAGCAGGACGCGAGGGAGGAGGTTAGCCCGCAGGCCGTGGGGCGAGAGTCCTGATGCCAACCACCAGGTGCCACATCAGCGGAGAGGAGTGGGAAGAGGAGATGGACGAGACCCCGCGACAATCGAAACGTTATTCTGATCAGCGTGTACGCACAGTTTCTGAATGAATTGTTAAACAGTGCCTACGGTAAGGATTCTCAGAAGGTCGTAAACTAGATTCCTCAGACCAACAATTCAATGGATTTCGCGGTGCCTGCCGCAACCTATGGCAACCTATAGCGCAACGGTGTACGCACCCAATAAGCAGCCGCCGATTTGGTGGATTGCGGGGGGACCCTGCCGCACCGATGATGCAATGGTATGTACACTCACTAAACATCCCACATGTTGGTGGACTGTGGGGTGCCTGCCGCAAACTATGGCACAATATTGCACCTACTGAGAAGCTAAGGCGGAATGGTATATCCAATACGTAGCCAACGATGTTGTGGTTTGCCGAGGGCCACGCGCAAGCTATGGCGCAACCTATGGCGGATTGCGGGAGGCTGGGCACCACCCATGGCGCAACCTATGGCAAATGCACCCATCGAACAGTGGTGGGTTGCGGAATGCCTGCCGCAACCGATGGCAAACCCACTGGGCCAGCGATCCGTTTGGTGGATTTCGGGGGGGCTGGCGCAACCTATGGCGCAACCTGTGGCACAAGCACTGAGCCGATAGATGGTTTATTGAATTGCGGGGGACCTGGCGCAACGTATGGAGCAACCTGTGGCAAATGCGCTCGGCAAATGGAAGATTTGGTGGCTTGCGGGGGGCCTGATGCAACTTATGGCGCCGCCTTTTGAAGACCCGCTAGGCCAAAGGTCCATTTGGTTGTCTGAGGGGTGCCTGGCGCAACCCATGGCGCAACAGATTGCAGATGCTGTTAGGGCCTCGCAGCTCACAAGGTAGGGTGCGGTGGCAAGATGCTGTTTGTCCCTGCATTCAGATCTGGGAGCACGTGCTAGGCCTCGCTTCGGACCCAGCATTTACCTGCAGAGCCTTCCACATCAGACTCCCTCAGCCCTCCAGCTTGACTGCAGCTTCAAAACCACAGGGTCTGCACCGAAGTCCTATTCTCTAGGCGCCCAGAACAACCACTACTGAGCAATTCGAGGCGAGTCGCTCAGGCGAAGCAGCTCAGGCTTCTCACACTTGCGTCCTTCCTGGCAAGGGTCCCCCGACGAGTCAGATTTTTTGCGCTCCGCACAGGGTGGCCTTCTGAGCGTCGATATCTGCGTTGGAGACTCGCCTGAAGATCTGGCATCTCTGCTTACTCCCCATTCCTCAGGTCAAATGTGGCGTGAACCTGGGCCACTTTCGCGCAAATTGGGACGTGGCCAAGTCTGGCTGAGATGCTACTTCTAATCCTTTGCACTGGGCACCCGTCCTCAACAGCGCGGCGTGTACCTGGTGGCGCCAACCAACGTGGCTTGTGGTACAAACTCAATCGACCGCTGCTGCGTGGCCTGAACCGGAACATTGGAGGAGCGTGCAGGGCCAATTCGCTGTCATGAATGCACTCGCCAGGCTTTGCGAAAAACTGCTCCAATGCAATGTTCAACGCTCGCCCTGGCGTCGGAATGTTGCCCCAATCAGCCGAATCTATATCCTGGACAATCGTCAAGCGAGATCAGTTGTTGAAGCTGCGTGGAATCACAGGAGCCGATCTAGAAAGGCAGCCTGCAAGCTCCCAAATTAGCCATTGCAAGAGAATCTCACCTGTTCGCTCGTACAGCACCAGCTGCTTGATCTGAGACGCTCTCGACGGGACGTGCTATGCAGGCAGAGTGAAATCCTAACTCAGCGCGCGCAAGCACAAGACAAGTCAAACTGAAGAGCCCGTGAAGGAACATACGGACATATGTCGCCGACATTCAGCATCGTGATCCTTAGCGCGGAATCGAGCACCAGCAATTGCATCTAAGCCCGCCGCGCGAAACGCGTCACGCACATCGGCGATGTTGCAAGCCGAAACGTTAGGCTGGACAGATCCCCACGCCCGCCCTGGTTTTCCCGAAGATCTCGCCACAACGTCAGGCAGAGCAAAAGGGGGAGAAGAACCCTCATGAAGCCCGCCGGCCTCGCCCTGTCATGGGCGCCGTTGGGTGGCCCGCGAATCGCGAGGGATGCCCTGCAGGCCTGCAGGCCCGCGCCGTGGTTGCGACGCCAGCCGAAACCATCGTGAATCATGGTAGCGACTGCGAGGAAGGGGAGGAGCAGGAGGAGGAGGAGCTGCTGGATCAGGAAAATGAGGGAGGGGGACGAGATAATGGAACCATAGCAGGCAGAACAAGGGCATAACAAGGTGGATCTGGATCTGGAGGAGGAGGAGGAGGAGGAGGAGGAGGAGGAGGGAAGAGGATAATTATGGAGGAGCACGCGCACGCAGATAAGCTCGGAAAAGGCTGGGCGGGGGCGCCTGAGCCTCAGCAGCGACAATACCTCGCGGTGGAACTCTTGCGAGAGCGACCCCCCGCGCAGCAACTTCTTGACCGCCACGTCCGTGCCGTGCCAAGAGCCTCTGTACACCTGGGCTGGCGTGACGGGGTTCCGCGACACCGACGGACTCGTGACACCAGGACGTCTCGGGTGTGTTCTTGCAGGACAGGAAGCGGCGTGCGTGGCGACGCGCCATGCTCGGGCGTCCCCCAGCCTCCATGTAAGCCACCACGTGCCTTTTCCCAAGCGCCTCCGGGGGGAATGAGGATAACTACGATTCAAAATATGATGCGTGATCGTTGGGGGGCAGACATCTATTTACGTGTATACGCGTATACATCATATATAGATATGCACGTTGACATGTGTATAGCTGTATGTGGATGGTACTGTCGAGCGATATCGGTGACTGTATTTGTATGTGCACATACTTACATATGCCGATCTACCCATATCTCTGTCTCACTGTCCACCCATCGCCCCCTTTATCGAATTATCAACCGTTATACCTCTCACTCGCACGACTAATACATCTACCCATTGAACTAGCACGATCGATATCTACCGCTCCCACTACAACACATGTTCGGCGACCTTGCAGGGTTTCACGAGATGCGAGCCGATACTCTGTGAACTGGAACTGTTTGGCTCAAGGAAAGGAATGCAGTTCCAGGGGGCTTCGCCATTCCGCATGGTAGCGGAGCCTGGTTATGCCCAAGGCCAGGCTCAATATTCCGTGGTCAGAGATGGCTTCCGCGGGTGAGGTTTTGAATCGTGTTGTGGCCATGGAGAGCGTCGTGGTCCAGCAGCGTGATCAGATTGCACGATTGGAGCAACAAGTACGTGACGCCACTGCCCGAACAGCAGCATAGGCAGGAGCGGCGACATTTGGAGGTCAAGACGACAGAGCCTACCATCGACCTGCAACTCTGGTCGACACGAAGCTGCTCGGGAAACCTGACGAGTTCTCAGGTGAGCTTGACGAGAGCACGAAGCACAAGGACGGGACCACCTAGGAGAACTGGAAGATTGCTTTGGCGGCTTACTGCATGGCGGTGGACCCGCACATGGCAGAACTGGTGAGGGGCGCAGCTAAGATCGGCGCTGCGGCCTACGCACACGAAGATCTTGACGAAAAGGCCCAGCGTGTGAACACCAGCCTCTATTGCATCCTGGTGCTGACATGCAAGGACAAGGCCCAGGGCATCGTGAAGAGCGTTCCTTCTGGAGAAGGTCTGAAAGCATGGCGACTACTCTGCGTGGAGTTCGAGCCGAAGGTGTCGTCGCGATTCTCGCGCATGCTGGACTCTACCTTGTACCCACATGTGCAGGACAACGACCCGATCAAGGGCATCGCGTCGTGGGAGACGCTGGTGCAGCGGCACGGGGGGCAGACGGGCGAGATGGTCATGGAGTCAATCCAGAAATCATTTCTGAGCGCGAGACTGGCGCCCAGCAAGCCCAGGGAGCACCTGATGCTGAACGCGACGAGATTCACGACGCATGCGCTGGTCAGGGCAGAGATGCTTAACTACCTGAGGTCGCAGCAGGCGGCGGTGGCCCTAAGCGGCCCTGCGCCGATGGATTTGGGCGAGCTTACGTTTGGTTGGCGCGGGAAGGACGGTTAAGGCAAGCACGGCAAGGAAGATCAGAAGCAAGGGGTACGACAACACGAATACAAGCCAGCCGCGCGCAAGTACTGCGGCAAGAAGGGACACAAACTGATGGAGTCCAGGAAGGCCACGCGGGACATGGAGGACGGTAAACTTACGCAGGACGAGCTGCGCAAGATAAACAAAGCCAAAGGCAACTACGGAAAAAGACAAGAATGACAAGCCGAAGGCACCGCCAGCCCCGGACAAACCCAAGGACCAGGACATGAAGTACTTAGGGTACGACTACGACGCCGAGGAGGGCTACATATTCCGTATCTCAACTTGTGAGGATGACAAGCTGGCTGATCAGCATATCACAGATTGTGTGGATGGCAAGCTGAAGGATCAGCATATCACATATTCTGAGGATGAGGAGACCAATGATGTTAAGATGGAGAATGACGAAACCAACCTGATTCCGATTGGACACTTCGAGAACGACAACGACGGAAGATCGAGGTCATGGTCGATTCCCGCGCAGCCAGAAGCGTCTGCCCACCAAGTTTCGAACCGCAAATGCCACGAGAAGAAGCCGATGCACCGCTGCAATACGGTGCCATCGGAGGTTGCTGGGACCAGGCAACCGATGCGAGGACAGTGTGATGTGCGCGACGTTCACATGACGATCATTGCGGTCAGCGGTTCGACGAAAGGATAGCAAGGTGTGTGGTTCGATGAGTATGGTGGGGTAGTGGTCATCCCGTCAGTTAACCATAATATCGAAAAGATGATCGAGATGGAGACGACCAATACGACGAACAAGCCAACCAAGATAGCCAAGGGACGCGGGATCTACAGTTTCGACGTGGACGCCAGCGCGCTACGCCCGCTGGAAGGTGTTGAAGCAGAAGAAGCATCACCCCAAGCGGTCGAGAGTGAAGAGGCCCAGCTACCGAAGATCCAAAAGGAGAGGTATACGCCGACAGCGGAGGAGACTGCCACGCGCGAGAGGACCCACATGCCATTCAGAGACTGGTGCAAGTGGTGTCTGTGGGGACGTGGCAAGGAGGACGCTCGCAAGAAAACTAACCCTGAGGAGGCACCGACTATGCCAGTCATCAGCATGGACTACTGGTTCGCGAACACGAGATGGTCAGCATCCCGGTGATGGTTCAGAAGCCTGGGGGCGTCGTGGCATCGATCATGGCGATGCACAAAGGGCCCAGCGAGTACGTCAATTCGGCGGTGGAGTTCTACATTGACGTATGAGGGGCCGCGGACATGATCCTGAAGGGCGACCAGGGGCCCACCAGGGGCCATGACTACTGGCCGTCATCACAGCGGCGAAGAACAGGAGGAAGCGCAGCACGCAGATTGAGAAGGCACATGGGCAACGGAGCGATCGAGAATGCGGCGGAGCGAATGGAGTCTCTACTGCGTACGTTGCACAGCGAGCTGGAGTTCAACCTGAAGGTGAAGATCGGTCCCAAAAGCCTGATCATGCCGTGGTTGGTCGGGCATGTGGGGTATCTGCTCACCAGGTTTGCGATCAAGACGGATGGCAGGACAGCCTGGGAGCGGCTGGGACGAGCTAAGTACAAGTCGGAGCTGGGTAAGATCGGGGAAACGATCGACTACAAGATCCAGGCGAAGGATTATTTCAAGCTTGAGCCGAGGTGGAGCGAAGGTATCTTCCTGGGCAGGCGGGGCAAGAGCAACGATATCATCGCGGGGACTGCGCGCGGGATTTAGCATTCCAGGGCGATGAAGCTGAGGGGCGCCGAGACCACATACAACAAGGAGGTCTACAACCGCTTCATTGGCGTGCTGTGGAATCCCCAAGGACTGGAGGTGAAGGACCATAATGAAGTTGCACGAAGGAGGCGGTACATCACGAAGGCTCTGATCGAGGAACATGGGCCGACAGATGGATGCATGGCTTGCGAAGGGGACTCGGCAATACACGACGCGAGGTGCAAGCCGAAGTTTGCGAAGATCTTCGGCGAGGCCGAGCCGGCGATCGAGATGGCAGTTCCAGCGGACCCAGCTCAACCCAGGGGAGGCGCAGCACAATCAGAAGGACACGCCGCAGCACCACCAGCAGAAAGAGATCGAGCTCAAGAACCGAGACTGGCGGGAGCAAGACAGCGAGTACCAGGCACACCGGCAGGACACCACTTCGGACGAGGAGAATCCATAGATAAGGATGTGGAGATGACAGGCAACGCGATAGTTGCAGGTGGGGACGTGACCCCGTTGACATCGAGAAGGGACGAGGTGATGGAGGTCGGTAGCCTGATGACGATCGACAGGGAAGAGGACCCGCATGTGCGCGAAGAGGTCGGGCCGAGGGTGAATTGCGACAAGCTGGCGGGGGGCAGAGTCTACAGGTACGCGTATGCAGGAGAAGAAGTCCCTAAGGACCTGGTGACCAACGGCAGGACCAAGGAGATGCAGAGTATGGAGGAGTTTGGTCTTCGAGTTGGTACGTTTGAGGACTGGGTGAAGCTGTTCGACACCAAGTGGATCGATAAAATGAAGTATGATCTGCAGAACAACGAGTGGATCATGAGGAGCCGTTGTGTTCACAGGAGGTACAGCGATGGCACAAACCCCTCGAATTTCGCAGGGGCACCCGGACTGCGGGCAGTTAAGTTGATGGTATCACGGGCAGCTTCGACAAGACCGAAGGAGAAGAGGAGGAAGAAACTTGGGCTATACGACATCTCAGTGGCGTTCTTTCATGTGTCGCTGAAGGAGCCCCAAGACTGTTGGCCACCACCAGAACAAAGACGACCAGGAATGCTCTGGAAGCTTCAGAAGGCGATGTATGGCACACCAGAGGCGTCAATGCTGTTTCAGGGAGAAGTTAGAGACAACTTCAGCCATAGTGGGTATCAGGAGTTGAAGACGGTGTAATGTCTGTACTACCATCCAGGTATTGACTCGCTCTGTGCAGAACATTGTGATGATCTCGCTGTGGAGGCATACGATGATGAGATGGGCGCTGCTGACGATATCATGGCGAGTCGTTTCAAGGTCAAACATGAGCCTCGAGTGGGACCAGGAGGAGCAGCTGAGAGAACCTTTCTCAACAGGACGGTTCTTAGGGGCGAGGAGGGCTTCGGCATTCTACCAGACCCGAAGCTGATTTTATGGATTGAGGCAGGCCAAGCCGGCCGAGACGCCGAGCTCGAAGCACACAGCGAAGCGAGTTCGAGAAGCAGAGGATCCAGTGACGCGGCGGAGTTCGATAGTCTATCGCAATTGTGGTGGTCTTGCTCAGTACTTCGCCGGAGATCGATGGGGGTATTCAGGAAACAGTTCGAGAGCGACGCTGTTTGTATAACGGCCCACGGGTGAAGCGCACATCCCGAAGCAGAAGCGCCTGGCCAGATACTTAAAGGGGACGGCGGGCATCGTGATCTTCTTCCCATACCAGGAGGAGACATTAAAGGTGAAGGTGTCGGTCGATGCAGACTGGGCAGGGCAGGAGGCGACGTCTCAGAGCATTTCATCAGGAGGCATTCGCTTGGTAACTCATGTGCTGGAGAGTTGGTATCTATCGCAAACGACGGTGGCGTTATCGAGTGGAGGGTCGGAGTCCTACGCGATGGGGTCCGGCACGGCCAAGGGACTCACCTTTAAGCACGTGTTGCAGGAGATGGCTGAGATGAGGAGCGAACAGATCAATATCAGCCTGGAGATGGAGACGGTCTCAGCAGCGGCGAAAGGTACAGTATGATTCACAGACACGGAGTCGGACGCGCACGGCATTTACAGACAAGGTGGATATGGCATCAGGACTTATTTCCTGATGGCGACATGGAGGTAGTGAAGGTGAATGCGAAGGACTAAGAGACGGACCCGGCACCAAACCGATGGACAAGGAGACGCTCAAGAGGCATATGAAGACGTCGGGACCGATCCCGATGGCGATGACAAGCTTTAAGGAGCCAGAGGTGTTGACGAAGGTGCTGGCGGTCATATTGGCAATCCCCATAAGCGAGGCGACGGAGTATCACTACGAAGACGGCGTACATATCAAGGTCAGTATGACGAATGACTTCAGTTGGTGGAGTTGCCTGACGCACCTAGTGGTCATGGTAATGGCAGTGGCATTCAGCTACTGCATGTCCGTGGTGAAAGACCAAGGAGTTGTGGGCGGATATCAGGACAGGGAGGTTGGACACACCTTTTCGACCAGTGCATGAACCAGCGGGTTGTGGGTATGGACCTCAGGACCCGAGGTATGGATCTCAGCACCCGAGGTACGATGGCCAGGAGACGAATTCTGGTCCAATTGGGCCGGCCGAGTGAAGGATCACCGTCGAGAAGGCGCCGCAGGGACGAGTCGCCAGAGTCGGAGGTGCAGCACATCAAGAGGATGAGGTCCGTTGCAGTGCAGGGGCCAGTGACATACAAGAGCAGGAGCAAGCTACACTCTGCAGCTGGCGAGCGTTATACGCCGCTAAGTGCTCAGGAGTGGGGAGCTTGGCATCCACCATGTTGCGCACACCGTGGACAACCAATACGAGATACCGTTTGTGTTGAGCAATGCTGGCTTGTTCGGAAGTGAACGACGGAGTCTGATCAGCTCCCGAGGTCGTTTCGCGAATGAGACATGATGCTAATGCGAGAGATGGGCCCGACAACGTACGTGAGTGAGAGGTTTCATTAGCCATGGCTGTTTCTGTTTAGTTGACGGAAACGATTGGGTTTCGGCGGAGTGCTGTGTAATTTGAGCTGGTTGGACTGACGAGTCCGCTAGCATGCACAGCGGCCTCGAGGAGGGCAGTAAGGTTTCACGAGATGCGAGCCGAGAGTATCTGGACTGAATCTGCTTGGCTCAAGGAAAGGAATTCCGCAGACCTCCCAATCAATAGATCGGTCGGTCCATCTATCTGCTGGTCTCACACTTCATCCATCAATCCTACGATCTTCTCTCGATCTACCTGTGGCTCTGCCATCGCCCCCACCGTCGCCGTTGACGTCGGGGCATCCGCCTTCGCCAGAGCCGTCGTCGTCGGCGTCGCTTTTTGTCGTCGTCCTCCCCCCGCGGCGGCTGCGGCCTGCGCGGTGGCGCCAGAGCCGAGCAGGTCCGTCAGCCGCAGCTCGGAGGGCTCCACCTCCCACTCCTGCGGGCGGGACCAGGGGTCGTCGTCGTCGTCGTCGTCGTCGTCGTCGTCGTCGTCGTCGTCGTCGTCGTCGTCGCCGGTGCAGCAGCCGTCGTCGTCGTCGTCGTCGTCCTTAGCCGTCGCCGTCGTCGTCGTCGTCCTCCGCCCCATCGTCTTCGTCGTCGTCGTCGTCGTTGTCGCCGTCGTCCTCCTCCTCCTCCTCCTCCTCCTCATCCCTCGACCTGCCTGGTCGTCGTCGTGCCCCCCTCCTTGTCCTCCACGTCCTCGTGCTCCCACGATCCGGCAAGCTGAGAACGAACAGTGCGATGGATACTCCCCCATTCCGCTTCCACGTTGGCTCCAAGTGCCCTCCCTCATCGTCGTCGTCCACCCCGTCTTCCTCCTCCTCCTCCTCCTCCTCCTCCTTCTCCTCATCGTACTCCTCCCTCGTCGTCCTCCTACTGCTGCTCCTGCTCCTGCCCCGAGGGGACGGAGGAGGAAGAGGCGGCGGCAGCGGATCTGCACATATCCAGTTCGCCTGAGCGACAGAAGCGGTGGACGCAAGGCGAGCGAGGACATTGCGCCCAAGTCGCTGACAAACTGGGCGGAAGTCCCCACCCCAAACGATCTATTGGGAACTCTTCTATCGAGGCACGGGTTGAGAAACCTGCCAGCAGAGGAGACGACGGAAGCGGAACGACGATAGGGAAGAACGACGGGAGAGAGGAGTCTTGAGGAGAGAAGGGGCAGGAGGAGGAGGAGGAGGAGGAGGAGGAGGAGGAGGAGCTCCTCACTCCACCCACTTCTGGGGGGCGGCAGTCCGAGGACTCGCTTACTGCGCGCTTCGGCAGAAAAAACTGTCCCCTTCGAACGCCGTCGTTGCCACCGGCGGAAAAGATTGGGAGGGGAAGGGCGAGGTACGGGAACGAACGACAGCATGTTAGCCAGCGTGGAACAATATGTTCTCGCAAACCAGGTGGTGCAATCTGTTCGGTGCAATATGTGTGGTGCTGTATACGAAGCTTGAGCTAAACTGTGCAACATTTATGATGCAGCCTATGTGCCCGCCCACCCACCCGCCCTCAACTTGGTTTGCACAACCCATGCGGCGGCGACTGCGATGAGTGCTTGTTGCCTGGTGCATCTCTGCGGCCGCGCTAGCCCGCGCATGCTCGCGCGCGCAACGGCCAGCTAGTTTGGCGCGACTGGCGCGGCCGCGGTGGCGCTGACCGCTGGGCACCTCCCGCCGGGCACTTCACTGCGAGTCGGCGACTGGGGCGGGCGCGGTATCATAGCAACGTCGAAAGCGGTAGACGCGAGGTTCATAGTAGAGATGCTGGTGGCGATTATGGCAACGACGACGGCAAAACCAGTGACAGCGCCGATGCTGATCAAGCCGGCGGCGATGACAGCGTCCTCGCGTAGGTGATGGATGAAAGTTTTGGTGGGAGTTCGCCATGCGCGCGCCGCCGACGCGCGAGAGTGGCCCGCATGGTGACATCATGCGGCGCGAGAGGCCGCTTGGCAGAATTGAAGACACAATAGAACCACAAAAAACCGTTTAAGACAAAAGCTGGCGCTGCAGCAACACATGTTTTGTACATGTGTTCAAGACACTCGATTCTGAATTCCTTGCGAAACTCTGGGTTTTTGAACCCGAAGTGTTCGAAGGATTTGGGCGTGCGCGCGACGACGGGCGCGCATGCATGTCGCCCCGTTCTGTGCAAGGGATTATTGCGACAACTCGCGCGCAGGGGCGCTCGAACGATGTCAGCATGCGCGCGCGAGGGTCCCGCTTGCTCGCTTTTTCTATAACAACCATATATATACATATATGTATATATACACATAAACGTATACATATTTACACATACGTATATATATATATATATATATACATACATATATATATATATATGTGAAAATGCTGAAACACCCATGACTGTCGTAAGACTTCGCAGGAGCGCGGGCACAAATTTTGTTTGAACATTCGTGTTGCGAAACCATGTGATTTAAATGTTTCCAGGACGCTCGGTTTTTAAATCCTTGCGAACGCCACTGTTTTACAAGAGTTTGGCATGCGCGCGCGACGGCGCGCGCGTGTGCACTTCGTCATGTTTGTCGCAAAAGACCTGGAAGCCATGCTGGTTCTTGATGAAGGAATGCGCGCGCATTTATATATATATATATATATATATATATATATATATATATATATATATATCGCAAAAGATGGGGGGGAGACCGGCCGAGAAAAATACGTTTCCCGGTAAGATCGAACTTATCCTGGGAAAATCAAGGACATTCCCTGGTTAATTTTTGAGAAATTCTGAAAACTTTGATTGTCTCTGAGGAGCTTCTGGGAGGCTTCTGAGAGGCTTCTGAAAAGCTTCTGAGAGGCTTCTGAGAGGCTTCTGAAAGGCCCCCGAGAGGCTTCTGAACTTCTGGGGGGCTTCTGCGACACTTCCGAGAGACTTCTGAGAAACTTCCGAGAGACTTCTGAGAGGCTTCTGATAGACTT